ATATATATATATATATATATATATATATATATATATATATATATATATATATATATATATAATATTATAATCTTTGATATTTATGTATGTTCTTATTACTATATAGTTATTACTTTAAATACATTACATTTACAGGCATGTGTGAAAAAGGTAGAAGGAGATGAAAGTGGAGATAAGCATTGCACTGGACCATATTTTGATTATTGGCATTTTATCCATAGAGTTGTAAGCTTCATTAATTTTCCCCTTTTATAAAATATTATTTATTATCAGTAAGGAGGTGAGAATCCATAACTGATTCCCGACATCACATCACATGGAGTCATTGTTTTCAGTATAGGGTTCTTTCCAACCTACAGATCCTCTTATCTCAATGTAATATGCCAATATTACCCTTTTGGAAACCTAACTCATCTGTGATCTTAATTATTTTTAAAATATTGGTTTGACCAAAACCAGTACACAAGCAAAGTCAAATCTCAGGTGCTTTAACATAATATGTCAATATTACCCTTTTGACATTTTTTGTTTTATTTCCTACAATAATTATTTTTAAAAATTATTACATTTGCAACTACAGGAACCATGAGAGGAACCCTTTGATGTCAATTTTGTATCAAGGGAAATCAAATCTCACCCATTTGCTGAGAAAAACGTTGCTGCCAAACAGTCCACTTGTCTTGGCACTCCCCTGGGTGGCCCCACTTCGATGGTTGATAGTTATGAAGAGTTACCATCATTAATCCCAGAGTTTTCAGCTTTTGGACAGCTTTTTTAGGTTCTTTGTGTGAGTGTAAACCTACTTGGGTGTGAACCTGGCATGAGTAGCTGCACCACCCTCTTCTGTTGACAAATGAATGCCTCCTTTGTTGCCAATAACAACTAGAAATGGCAGCCTCTTTATTTCATACGATGAACACAATAAATTGCCACAGTACTTATAGTGGTTAGCTTTAGTATAAATAGAAGTTCTAATCTCAGTTGTAAGGAACCACTAAAACAAAGAGTGACAAAGTGAGTATTTGTAATAGAGGGTTGTTTTTCTTTTCTTGTAATTGAGCTAGTAAGCTGCTCCGTTTGTTCTAGTTCTGAATAAAAATGTGTTTCAACCCCAACAAGTGGTATCAGAGCTTGGTTAAGCTCCGGGGAAGCATTCTCTGTTTTTGGTCAAAAAAAAAATTCTCAAAAACAATTTCGGAGTACACCGTTGGAAAGGTCTTATTCTGAGGATTCCGAAAATATATTTTTTTGAATTTTTTGACCACCGGAAGGCTTCCAAATCGTCGGTCAAAGTTGGTCAAAAGTCGCCGAAAACTCGCCGGAAAAACCAGGTTCGCCGGAGAAGAAGGGTGACGTCCTTTGTTACTCTAGCCACACTGTAGCAGTGACGTAAGCAGTGACGTCAGCAACTGACTAAAGTTCTGAAAATTTGCATTTTAGCCCCTGTTCTTCTGGAAAGTGCAATCTAGCCCCTGTCTTTCAGAAAAATTGCAATTTGGTCCCGTTTTTCAAAAACATTTCAGCTTAGCCCCTGTTTTACTTCTATAAAAGTTCTGTTTGCCCCCTGAACTTCTAAAAAGTTCATATTGGTCCCCGTACTTCAAAAAAAAAAATTCAAAGTCGTGTAAGCCCAAGTATATGCCAAGAATGACTACACCAACCTTGTCATCTTCTCAAGCCGAAGTTGAAAGTATTCAAAGGACCAGGAAAGATGGTAGTGCTACGTTACACTATCCAATGCTCACGAAGATGAACTACGTGGTGTGGGCCATAAAAATGCGAGTGAATTTACAAGCACAAGGAGTAAGGGATGTAATTAAAAATGCAGAAACGGACGAACGTAAAGATCGGATGGCTCTTGCGGCTATTTATCAAGCA